AGTAGTCGCCAAGCCTGCCAATTTATGAAGAAATGTATAGGTAGGTTTTTTAAATATTATTTTTATTGTGTTTGACATAAAATATTTAAATGTAATCCATTATTCATGATTTTACGTAAAGTAGATAGAATACACCATATGTCGCCACCCTTAGATATCCCAAACCTGCCCACTGGTAATTCATTTGTTTGGAATGCCTAATTTGTGAAGTCACAGTTTATTGCTAAAGAATTAGTTTGCTCACTCGGACCAGTTGAAAGTTCCAAAATAACATCCACTCCAGGGATACAAATTCAGGATACGCAGAAGACTGCTGTTTTATTATAGGCGGTTGTCATATATTGTATTATCCGAGTTGCACAGTGTATAAACTGAAACATTGAGATCAAAAGTGCCGACGCAGAGTGAGCGATCTGATTCTTTAGCTGTAAACTGTGTCACAGGGTTCAAAATGGCCGCGCCCTAAGTTGGATGTGTCGGACCTCTCTCTTGCCTCGTATAGTAATCAAAGTATGTTAATATTAAAGACATGAGAGGTCAAGGGTATGATAATGGGGCGAATATGCGCGGAAAACATACTGGTTTACAAAAACGCATACTCGATGCTAATCCCAGGGGCATTTTTGTGCCATGTGCTGCACACGGCTTAAATTTAGCAGTAAATATTGCTAAAGTTTCAAATGAATCAGTTAACTTTTTCAATATTGTACAAGAACTTTATGTATTTTTCTCTTCATCCACAGAAAGGTGGGATATTATAAAAAAGCATGTCCCGAAGTTAAATCTAAAACCCCTAAGTGATAGTAGATGGTCAAGTAGGATTGATGCTATAAGGCCGCTAAAGTTTTATTTAATTCAAATTTGTAATAGTTTTCTAGAAATAGCAGAAAATGATACTTTTAACATAGAAGCTAGGCATAAAGCAACTTCTATGCTATTAAGTATTCAATCTTTAAAATTTATTTGCAGTGTAATAATTTGGTATGATTCCAGATTGGCATTGTAAGCAAAATGATGCAAAGTGTAACGACTGATATTAAAGTGTGCCAAAACTATTTAAAGAATCTAATTGATAATTTTAAAAATTATAGAGATGATAATGTTTTCGAGGAAAAACTTGCTCAAGCTGGAGAACTAGGAGCCGTTTTTGAGATAGAGCTAGGTTTTCCTCCAATAAATACTGTTAGACGAAAGTATAAACCAAAATTGTTCGATTATTATTAACAGAGAGATGAGACACCTCAAGATCCAAAAACAACGTTTAAAATAAATTTCTTTTTAAAAATAATTGTTCAAACACTAAGTTCTTTAAATAGTAGATTTGAAATGATATTTGATTACGACAACGTTTTTGGTTTTTTTAGTGATATTTTTAAATTAAATGACGAGGATCTTTTAAAATGCTGTCGTGCTCTTCAGCAAAAGCTAACTGATCAGAAAAAGGAGGAGGCTGACGTAGAAGAAAATGATTTATTTAATGAGATAAAAGCCCTAAGATTGTTTTCATTACCTTCAGCGTCAAATCCCCTCGACATTTTACAATATACAGGATGTCTGTAAAAGGTCTCTACAAAAATATACCACATATTCCTTAGACCAAAATAAGTCGATTTAAGTAAAATTACCTTAGTACAAAGTTGCTTCGTTTGGGCTCCAGAGGACCTTGAAGTTACAATTTTTAAATCGTTTTTCCCATATAAATTTAAAACGGCATATACGATTTTGCTGAAATTTGGTATATTGGTAGAGTTTTATATGACAAAAAAAATGGTATTAAAATTTTGTCCGATAATAATACATAGGCGTAGAACTTGTTTTTTTAAATAATTGCACCTTTAAAAATTCTACGCCAATGGAATAAAAGGAGTTTGAGTATGAAATTTAGATTGCGCAACTCATTTACTTTAAAAAAGGTACTCTTGATAAGACTCGATTACTCCCATGGTTTTGACGAAATTTGCATTTTAGTAATTTTAGAACATAAACAATAATTATTAAAATACAAACTTTGTCAAAACCATGAGAGTAAATTTCATACTCAAACCCCTTTATTGCCATTGGCGTAAAATTTTTAAAGGTGCAAATATTTAAAAAATCAAGTTCTACGCCTATGTATTATTATCGGACAAAATTGTATACGATGAAAAACAGAAAAATGTACTTTTTTCATATCTTCTTCAACACCTCTAATCGAGACTTTTAACAAAAATACTCGATTCTTGCCATGTACGATTTTTTGAGGAATATTAATTGTTTGCCTTCAATACGTATACAAAAACATTTATTGTTGGTTTCCATAGTTTCATCTAAATAATATTGTCAAGTTTTAACACCTAATCTCTTCTTAACGATTGAAAGTGTTCTATCTGACTCAATAATTAAAGAAACAAATGCGTGGTTTATTAATATGGCTGTACAATATACCAATGCAGAATATACCGATATGTTACTGATATTAGGATTTTGTGAAGGAAATGCTCGAGAGAGTGTCAGGGTGTACTCTGAATGGTTTCCAAATCGTCGTGTACCTAGCCACCCAACTTTTGCTGCTGTTGAGAGACGTCTTCGGGAGACCGGTTCCTTTGCTCCCAACACTGTTGATAATGGAAGATAACGTTTTGTAAAGATTCCTGAAGTTGAAGAAGACATTTTAGAACGTGTTGAAGAAGATCCAGAATTAAGCACCAGACGAATTGGAAGGGAACTAGGAGTAAGTAAAGATGTCGTTCATAAAGTGCTTAGAGAACAATTGCTATATCCATACCATAAGAAGCCAGTACAAGAATTATTAGTCCATGATCCTCAAATTCGTTTGGGTTTTTGTCGATTTGTTAATATACAAAGATAAAGAGATCCAAACTTTGTCAAGAAGGTTCTCTTTACCAATGAAGCGGGTTTTACAAGAAGAGGTATAACTAATACCCATAATGAACATGTTTATGCCGTTGAAAATTCGCATGCAATAAAGGTAAACCATTTTCAGCACGAATTCAAAATTAATGTGTGGGCTGGAATAATTGGTAATTTCATTGTTGGTCCTGTCATACTTCCACGAAGATTAACTGGAGAAAATTATTTGGATTTTCTACAAAATACGTTGCCAGAATTGTTAGAAGATTTACCTCTCCAACTTCGGAGAGATATGTGGTTTATGCAAGATGGAGCTCCACCACATTTTTCATTAAACGTCAGAAACCACTTGCATAAACAATATCCACACAAATGGATAGGCAGAGGTAATGACGCACCTGTAAACTGGCCACCACGTTTCTCAGACCTAACACCAATGGATTACTTTTTATGGGGACATCTGAAATCCACAGTTTACAGGAAACCTGTAGAAAATGAGGAACAACTCTGGCAACGTATTCAAGATGCAATAAACAATCTTAGAGGTAATGAAGAAGTTATGAAAAGGATACATTTTAATTTTCTTCGACGTATAAATCTTTGTATGCGTGAAAATGGTGAACATTTTGAACAATTTTTGTAAAATCTCTATTTTGATTATGTTGTAAATAAATATTTTTGTGAAACCTATACACTCTAAATTATTAAAACAGAAATTTAGCGAACACCATGAGAGTAATCGAGTCTTATCAAGAGTACCTTTTTTAAAGTAAATGAGTTGAGCAATTTAAATTTCATACTCAAACTTCTTTTCTTCCATTGGCGAAGAATTTTTAAAGGTGCAATTATTTAAAAAATCAAGTTCTACGCCTATGTATTATTATCGGACAAAATTTTAATACCATTTTTTTTGCCACATAAAACTCTACCAATATACCAAATTTCAGCAAAATCGCATATGCCGTTTTAAATTTATATGGGAAAAACGATTTAAAAATTGTAACTTCAAGGCCCTCTGGAGCCCAAACGAAGCAACTTTGTACTAAGGTAATTTTACTTAAATCGACTTATTTTGGTCTAAGGAATATGTGGTATGTTTTTGTAAAGACCTTTTACAGACACCCTGTATATTTGAAAACAACTTCATCTCTACCAAATATTACTATTTCGTTAAGAATCCTGCTTACTTTACCTGTATCTGTAGCTTCTGGTGAGAGATACTTCTCAAAATTAAAAATAATTAAAAATTATTTGAGGTCTACCATGTTACAAGAAAGATTATCGGGTTTGGAAATCTTAGCTGTAGAGCAAGAGATCCTCGATAAAACTGATTTTGACAATATTATAAAAGAATTTGCAGCAGCCAAATCCAGAAAAAAACCTATGTAATTTTTGGATAATTGAATGTTGAATTTGTTTACTGTTTGGTTTGTGTTTTCGTTTGTAAGAATAAAATATTGGTTTTTGAAATATCTGTTGTTTCATTACAAAATTAAAATAAAATGTGGTTTCGCAATTCGCTCAAATGTTAAACGACTACAAGAATATTACAGCAAACCAGTAAATTTAAAAAACATATATAACAGCTTAAAGTTGTTATTCTTCAAAATATTATTTATATAAGTACTACATATATTCAAAGGGCGCCAGAATATTTCCTGCGCGCGGGCGGCGATAACCCTTGCGGAGGCCCTGCAGTTATCATTCTACCCCTCTCCACTTCATTGTTTACCTCACTTTATTTTATTACTTTTTTATTTTTCATTCTTTAAATGTCTTTTAATTTATCACGTACAAGTAGTTTAGCACTACTTCTGTGATTATTCATGTTTATTCACCTATTATACGTACTTTTTTTTAAATCCTATTTTATATATTTGTATTTTTTTAAAATGAATAAATATTATTATTACTATTAAGTATTATTGCATAAAATATTTCTTAAAATTTTCCGGTATTTACTTTTTAAAGAGATCTAGTTTTTACTCAAATAAAAATAAGAATTTTTTTGTACTTAGAAGTTTTAGCTTATCTTTACAAGTTTTGTTTTGTAAGGTAATACTTTCATTTTTTCGAATGACTCATGGGTGTTTATTACATACGAGTGGAATTGTTACCAAAATACATTGACACATTGTTTCTCTTTACAGATTGCCAAAACGCCGCGCAGTCCGGCCAATTTGTCGACAAATTTGGAGTAACACATTTGATTCGAAAAAATAACACCCTTTATAGGAATGTTACGTTCATCCAAAACGACGGACAAACTTTTATACCTATAAATACAGTATATTCCATATCAGCAATAGAAGTAATTGCCAAAGTGAATTTCGAAAGTAATAAAATCGTTCTTCGTTCAGGAACAATATGCCGATACAGTGAAGGAAAATGCAACGATGATAAAGAAATTACCCTCAGTATAAACTGGAAAGTCGGTGACGTCGTCAAAAATTACACTTCGATCATAGATTGCATGAATAATTACGTATATTTATTGGAACAAAAAGTTCTCAATTCAGAATCACAATTATCTGTTAATTTCCATATTAGTTTGATCATTATCTTCATAATATTTATATATTTATGCAAACGTTGTTACAGTGTCTATTTTAATTGGAAAACCATGAAAACGAACACTAACGGCAACATCGTTTTCGATAACTTCTTTCAGGCGCATTTCAATCGAAGAATTTGGAAGGAAATGATCGAACTAAAAATGAAAATTTATTTCGACACTCATCATCATTATGATTGTATTGATTGCATAAAAAAAACCGAGTTTGAATAAATTTTTTAGAGAATAAAACTGTTTTGAAATTTGAAACAAATTATTATATATTTCATTTCAAAGTACCGTCAAATGTGGTGAAGTCGATCGGCAGAGATTAGTTGATCAAACTGGTGTTTTTCATTTATTTTTAAGCATTGTGGCAACAATGCATTACAAATCAGCTGATTTTTATTTACGCTCGTGTGGCCAACAGGCGAACATCCATAAGGTAAGTTCGGACAGATAAGACTCCTTTAACTCTTTTAACTCCAAACGACCCTTTTAGCTTTCGGTTTATTCGGATTAGTAACAGTTCAACACTCTTAAATGTCTTTTAAAAGAACCATAAAAAAATTCCGCTCCTGTCCTGTCCTGTCCTCTTCCAGATAATCCATTAAGCATGGACTCAGTATATGCTAGTTCAGTGATGATGTAATTATGGTTCCACTGAGTATGCGCTGGTTCAGTGATGATGTAATTATGGTTCCACTGACAATTAAAGTGGCAGTAGATTTTTTGAGTGCGTTTTGTTCGTTGTGTTTACCTAAATTATATCGTTTTTTCACTTCTATAAATATATTCCTAAAGTAAGTAGATAACATGCATCAAATATACAATCGTTTAGTTACCAATTTACATACATTTCAACTATTTTTATGACCTGTAACCAATATTTAGAAATAAACTAAAAACAGTAAGAACGTATATGTCAAATTTATTGATGTTTTTGTTAAAAGTTTGGTTAGAATTAAATGTCAGTGAAACCAAAATGACATCACACTGAACCAGCGCATTAAAGTGACAGTAGATTTTTTGAGTGCGTGTTGTTCGTTTTGTTTACCTAAATTATATCGTTTTTTTCACTTTTATAAATATATTCCTAAAGTAAGTATATAGCATGTATCAAATATACAATCATTTAGTTACCAATTACATACCTTTAAACTATTTTTTATGACCTGTAAACAATATTTAGAAATAAATTAAAAACAGTAAAAACGTATATGTCAAATTTATTGAGGTTATTGTTAAAAGTTTGGTTAGAATTAAATGTTAGTGGAACCAAAATGACATCACACCGAACTAGCGCATTGTTCTTGGGCCAAAAAAATCGTAATAAACTGGCGCACTAAAACGTAATAAATTTCAATAAAAGGTAATAGATTTCGATAAAAGGAAATTAAAATGTCATTATAGATCATATTCCTTTACATTTCGGCAAATGCGCATATTTCAATGGATTGTTCCACACCTAATCCAAACTGTTTAAGCATGAGCGATTTAAAGATAGTAATATTTTTAAATTATGCTCACTGAAAATGTAGAAATTGATTGTGCATGAGGAAGAATTTACTAAGGACCGATTCCACCGTTGTGTTAAACGGAGATTAAAATGACGTTGTTAATGTAAAAATGTGATTTTAAACTTCGTTTAACACAACGGTGGAATCGGTCCTAAGACATTTTTCTTGAATGAATAGTAATAGATTTTAGAAAAACGTAATAATGTAACATTTAAACAAAAAAAAATAGATTTGTTACGATATTAGTGACAAGAACAACCCTGGGCACGGTAGACACGTGCCTAGGGCCTACGAAGGCTAAAGGGCTTACGAAGGCTGAAGGGCCTACGAAGTTTTGGTATACATTATAAATACATCAATTTTATTACAAATAAATACAAGAGCGACTAGTTTCGGCCTCACAGGGACAAGTTCAGGCTTGTAATGGAATAATCCTTAATTCTTATAATCGGAACAATATCAAAATAGGTTGGTCACTTAAATTAAAATTAAATAGTATAAATCACAACAGTGGATCCATATTGTAGCGTTACAGCATTTTAGAATTAAAGCTGCGAAAAAGGAAAAATAAAAGAGCAGTGCAAACTTAACTAAAAATTGTCCCCGTCAAAGAAGGTCCAGATAAGTGAGAGAGGATTCAGGGTTTTCTCTGTAAATCTTAAGAATATAAGGATGGAGGGAAGACGAATCTTACTGGCTCGTGTATATAGGCTAGAAAAAGGAGAGTAGATGAAAGCCCAAGTAAATATCGTTATTTTCGTCTAATTTTTTATTCTCACTCACCGTTTCGGCTTTATCTTCAAAATTAATTTTCAAGAGGAAATAAAGGTAATCATTCATGCAAACATATAAAACAACAACGTGAATTCATTATATTAAATAAGCTAATAAACGTATATGTGAATATAAAAAAGAGAAATAGATACGATTAATATCAAAATCAATTTGAAAATACAACAAACAGGGATAAAATGAAATAAATTAATACATGTACAAATAGAAAGTTAATAACATACCTTCTAAAAGTAACACATTTTAAGTAGATAAAGAGTTGGTGATCCCTGAACATAACTAATATGACGTTTTCCTCATTTTTAATAATATGAGGGTTTTTGTAGTTATAATGAAAATTATAATTTATTTTGGTTCTAATAAAAATTTAAACATAGATCATCAAAGAGAAAAAACATAATAGAACTTCATAATCATAAAACGTTATCAAAATTTATTAATGGTAAAATTTCAAACAATAATTATTTTCTTAAACAAATTTCTTGTTTTTGTTTTGCAAAAGACTTTTTGCCTTCTTCGGTTGTCTCTGGCACTTTTCTTTTAGTAGTTTCGAGGAGAATTTTACTATGGAAACCAGTAGAACCATCAATTGGTTGGTAACATTTTGATATTTTGTGTCTGGTAAGAGTCTTGTTAAACTTTCTTCTTAGGTAGCTGTAAGATTAAATATTTAATGTTAGATCAAAAGTTCTTAATTCAGAATTATATTTGCGAAGTCCGTTTTAATAATATTTTCAAAAGTTCTTGGAATCGTTATTAACAGAAACTTGCAAAAAAATATATTATTTTATTCCTAAAATATAAGATATCACACAATGCACATTCATATAATATCATTGTGCTAAAGAAATAGTAGGTAGGTACTGAGACAATTTAAAAAAAGTAATTTCGAGAAACTCAACTTTTAATGTCATCATTGTACTTAACTTTTTTATTGCTAAATTATTAATATTGTCATTTTGTGTAGTTCGTTGTGATTTGTATAATATACAGGGTGTTAAAAAAAAGTGTCACAAAATGAAATGGTAAATAGTATGACCCAAAATAAGCAGAAAAGTCTTAATAAATATATGACCGCAAATTAATGGTTTCGGAGGTACGGACCATTTTGTGTTTATAACAATTTTTTATTATTATAAAAAAACAATGATATTTATAAACAATCAATAACAACATAGAGTTAAATGAGATGTTCAAAGTGCCCTCCCTCCATTTCATTGCATTGCCATTTGCACGACCGTACATAAAATGCATGTCAGCTAATTCAATATTAGTGTAAACAGGCATAACGAAAATTTATAAAATTATTCACCCACAACAAAATAATAACTGCAAATAGAATCTATGAAAAAACATCGGTAGACTCCGATAAGAAAAGCAAGTTTTTGAGAATGAAAAAAGATAATCAAATAATGATACAAAACACAAAACACTCCGTATCTCTGAAACCATTCATTTGCGGACATATGTTTATTAAGACTTTTCTGCATATTTTGGCCCATACTACCCCCCGTTTTATTTTGTGACACTTTTTTTTTAACACCCTGTATATTATAAAAACATATCGTCAATGTTAATGTGCCGACTTTTTTTAATAATTATGTCCTTGTTATAGTAAAAACACATTTAAACACATTTTTAGAAATTTTCTGGATTTCTGCTTTAAATGATCGTATAATTGAATTGACATTGTGTGTTTAATTAAAGGTATATCTCTTTTTTGTTAAAACAGTCTTTGTATTGTTCTAAACTTTTTAGATAATTAGAGAAAACAGTAGGACATCTTAAAATACCCTATTTCACCAACAAAAATGTAGCATAATGAATCTCACATCAAAGTCATTTTAGGATGCCTTTCTAAATATTAAATTAAAAACTAAATAAAATGTATATTGCAACTATGCTCAAATAAATGAATGTTTTTATACCTGACTATATCACAAGACAGACATTTTTTTAGACCATAATGATCTGGATAACTCAAAATACTCAAAATTCACATTATTTAAGTTCATATTCATATTCAATGTTTTTTAGTAATTAAAAAAAAAACATGAATAATGTGGTATTCTTTAGTTTGTTACTACATATTAGGTACATTAGGTAGTGATTTAGAAGCAAATTACGTTCTATTTATAGAATAAAAAATTACTCTTATTATCCATATATTTATACCTATATCTTTATATTTTGGGCACAAAGACTAACTATTTTATGTTTTTAGCTCTGAATAGTTTTATTAAGGATTTTAAAACATTCCTTAGCTCTTTTGGGATATTCCATGCATATCTTTGAAGTTCATTTTGTTTAAACCTAAAATAAATGAAGTAAAAATTATGAAAATTTTAACAATACACAAAATTACTCTATTGAATTAGTTTAAAAAATAGCAACAAAAAATGGCTTTTCATTTTTCCTTAAAAATTCTTTTTGGAAAAAACTTGAGTCTCTACTTAACTTATTGCTGTTTTAGTATTTTAGTAGCAGATGAATATGGTGTGGAAGTAGTGAGAGAATTGATTATTATACTTTTCTCGTCGAAATTTACTGAAATTGCATTTTTCTTTAATATTTTCCTCGCCTGAGGTCTATAATAAAAATATTCATTAGCATAAAAAGTTATTCAGGTGGTCACTTGTTGAATTCCTAAAATTTGGGACCATGTATTTCTTTTTATCATATCAAGAAAAGGAAACCTAAAAAAATAACAATAAACTTTACAATAATAATATAAGTAATTAACCTTTACTACAGGGTTTTTCATTGGTAAATGGGCATATGTTAACTGCATATGGGGGTCACCTAAGTGGTTCCAAAAAACCCATACTTCATGGGTCTGTCGCCCTTTATAACCGAGATACAGGGTGTTTTATCAATTTTGCCGATTTTTTTCTAGGCTCATAACTTTTGAAACACGTTGAATATTTTTTTGATATTTGGT